ATTATCGAGGGAAGGATTTATTCTCGAGTGAGAGATTTATTCGAGTTTTGAAATTTGAAAGTTCAGTATGGCTCTCCTTATAGATCCCCCGCTTAAGCATTTTAAATACTGTTAGTTGAACCAGCCTTAATTTAATCTGAGAGGGGCAACTATTTGAGAGAGAGAAAGTAATTATTTGAGCATATTCTGTCAATTAAATAAAAGTTTTATTAAAATTTTTACGTGAAAATTTGTCTCGTTTTTAAGTCTTTTTCTAAATTTATAGAATCCTTATCTATAATAAAATACCTGCTCAATATGCCATCCTTGTTTAATTGGCTCTTCAGGGGTTTTAATATCTACATTCTTGCAACCCCTAAAAATTCTGCTAAAAAAGGGTTTCTTTTTCTGCTTTTCCTTTTTATAGAGAGTAGGCTTATACTCTTCTAAATGAAATGGAGGGGCATTTGATGCCAAAATTATCCTCCTTTTTACTGAAATTTCTTGATGCTGGTATTCCTCTCCTTCATCTCCTTCACCACGCTGGTATTCATCTCCTTCACCACACTGGTATTCCTCTCCTTCATCACCCTCGTATCCCTCTCCTTCATCATACTCGTATTCTTCTCCTGGGTAATATCCAGATCCTGAAAATTCATTATAGTCTTCGTAACTATTTCTAATTAAAAACTATTTTTGAATATAAGTCAAACACTGTGCCAATACAAAACTATCCTAACACAAGTTTAGGAAAAAATTTTTCTGGGTAAGTGGCTGAAAGTCCTTCCATTCCAGAATAAATGCCACCCATCTCAGAATATAGTCAAGAATTATGTAGGATAAAAGCTTTGATAGCCTATCGAGGGAGGTCCAAAGAATTAATAAAAGCCTTGTTGTAGCCCGTATCCAAGGAGTGGTCTAAATCATGAACATCCTTTTCTTGGTACGGATGTTCCTACTGAGAAAAAGATGTATCCAACGATGTATCCATTTATAATTTAAGGATCCTATTTAAGCTTATCATTTTAATGAATGATTATAGCTTTAAAAATTTGTTACGTGAAGTGCTTGCTTCATTTGTATAATCAGAATACATTGTTTCTGTTATGCAAATAACATTAAAAAATATTAGAACCCAAAGTAAATAAGGAGGATTCTTCAAAGAAGGCATTTTTTGAATAATTTAAATATTTAAAGTTTACGCTTCATAAACAATTTTGAATGAATTTTTAAAAGTTCAGAATAATAAATTTTATTTAATAAATATTTTATAAAAATTTAAAAATAAAAAATTGAAATGGGGGAAGGGCCTCCTCCTTGTCTAAAATCGACTACTATGTATTATAAGGAGGATAGTGAGAATGGCAGGGGGAGAATGGAGAATGGCAGGGTTTAATGGCAGGGGGAATTTTTTTTCAATTTTATCGACTTTTATTTGTAAAATCAGGATAAGGATTTAGAATTATACAATAATTAAAACGGAAGCCATGCTAATACGGAAGTTAATAGTTGAAACGGAAATAAATTGCTGAGCTGGAGTGATCGGGGGTACTCCAAACTTTACGGACTCCAAATTCCGTGAAAGCAATTATGCGGTAGCTACTAATCCTACAAGATCCTACACTTAGAAAAGTTATAATTAAAAATAATTTATTAAAAATAATTTTTTCCATATTTTTGTTTAAAAATGCAAAAAGATTACAGGATATGCTCATGAGAGGATAAAAAAAGAAGATAAAAATTATTGCTTTCTGAGATTTGTTTGGACAAAATTAAGAACAAATTTACACATACATAGATGTGGAAATTTAGATAGAATAAAGCACATGCCAAAGGGGTCGTAATGCTGAATTCCGGCCATTCTGCTATCTGTAAGTTCCTGTATCGGAATCATGGACAGGAACTTCTTAAAAGCTGCAAATTGGATTTCCGATACACTAAAAAATGAAATTCAATATTTTCCTTTAAAAATTTTCCCCTAAATTTGTTTATAAAATTTTTTACAGATCCATCCTTTATTATTTGCCGAAAGAGTGTTAAGAGCTTAAACATCGGACATTCTCTTGCGCAGCATGTGATAATAAAATGAGAGATCTTTATTTAAAAAATGCCTCTTCCTTAACTGCACTCTCCCAAATCTACACTCCTAATTATTGAGGAAGGGGATTAAAAGTTTTAATCTAACTTCAAATATAATTTTAATTTTTAGCTTATTTTAAAGGATTTTTTAATTGAAGAAAAACTTTAATTTGACAATTATTTAATTTAAAAAATTTATTCATTTTTAATAAAATATAAATTTAATTAAAATAATGCTTAAAATAGCTCAATAATTTATTTTATATTACCTACAAATAAGGAGTAGGAGGGAGGATAGAAAGAGGGTTGTGGAATAGGGAGCTATGTGGGAGGTGTGGGGGAATTTGGGTGGAGGAGGAGGGAGGGAGGGAGTGAGAGTAGTGATGGGAAGGGGAAAAGGGGATGGGAAGGGAAGGAGAAGGGAAGGGAAGGGAGGGTGGGAGTGAGAGTAGTGATGGTGAGAGAGATGAGGCCGGAAGACGCCGGAAGTCCCTTAGGTAAGGACAAATAGGAAGTTGATTTTGTATTCAACCATAGTTGTAAATTAATTGTGCGCAAATTTAAAAACGCAAAAATAAAATTTTAATTAATTAAATTGATTAATAATTAAAAATTTTATAATTGAGTAATATAGATTGTGTTAATTAATTAAAAACACACCCCAAAGTTTTAAATTTTATCTATAATTCCAAGAGTTTAGATGTCAAAATATTTTTATATAATACTATTGCAGTATTGAGACATAATGCGGTATGAGGATTAGATTTGCCATTTTCGAGTCAGGCCAATGGTCGAGGCATCGAGTAGGGCCGGACGAGTCATTTTCGGGCCAAACATCTAGGCCCGACTAGATCTTTTGGTCCGTATCGGTCCATTTTGGCAAGCCTAATAAGGATAGTAAATAACATGTAGAGGTAACTCTACTCCAAGACCTGGCGGTTTCATTAGGTTCCATCTTTCAGTTCCATTCTTCACTGACAGTTACCCAGAGGGATGACTGATATAGCAAAGCTATTTTTATAAATATAATTAATAAAAAAATAATAATAAATTATTAAAAATAATTTATTTTTTATAAATTTATTTCTTGCAAAATTTATTTTCATAAAAATTTGCAAAATTTTTACTAATTATTTTTATTAATCAAACTACTTCCGGTAAATAAAATAAAATATTAAAAAAAATTTTTTTAATTTAACAATTTATAAAAAAATATTTTAAAATAAATAAGAGTTAACTTAATTAAAATAAATTCTGTTTAAACGATAGAAAATTAATAATTAAAAAAACTATTTGATTATTTTTAAACTTTTTTGGCATTTGATCAAGCTTCGTTTTTGATTCACTATTTTTATTCTTATTAATTATTAACATGTGAAAATGCTTTCCCAATTTTTTGTTTATTAGTAAAAAATTGGTGGATAAACATTAAGCATTTTTTAATAGATTTTCACGTGAATCTTTTTCACTTCCCAACCTTAATTTTACCGCTCAAGCAAATAAGTAGAGGGCAGGTAACCCTTGCAAAAAATTATTTTCTAAAAAAGAAAAAAATTTATTGAAGTTTAATAAGTTTAATATATTTTTTGCCTAGACAATGAGCTATAATAAAATTTAAATTTGATCTATGTATATACATATATTCTTTAGTAACTATAAATTCGAAACTTTATAAGTTCGAATTTAATTAATTCATTAATTTATGAATTTTATTTTTCAGTTATCCTTCAAACCATTAATGCAAGGTGTCATTTTTTAAATTTGAGATCTTGTCCCTTAAGAACTGGGATTTTAAAATTGAAATTTTTTATCCCAACAAATACTCATTTTAATATAATTTGAACGATATCTCCAGCATTGAACAATATCTCCGTAAACTCCGATATTCCACCGATATTTTATTAATTGTTGAACTTAAATGGTGAATCTGTTGAAAGTTATAAACTATTAGAGGTTCAATCGACTGGATATTGGCATTTCAAAAGATAGTCTTACGACAGAAAAATCTCTAATTTTTGAATAGATATTTTTACAATAATAAAAAGTTTTTTCTAGTTTATAAGAAAAATTGATAAAATTTTTGAAAATTAAAGTTTTTTTAATAAAATTGATAATAATTTAAAATAAAAATCGTTTTTTTACGAAAGATTTCCGAAAAAAGTTACAAAACGCAATAAAAACACAAGAACATCATAAACAGGTTACAATCTATAATTGGTTCTATAACCCCCCAAAATTGTTCTCAATAGGCGATATCAAGTCTTTGTAAACATAAGAATTAGAATAACAATGGAGCTGAGCTTATATCAATTTAACTTTTTTTAGTAAAAATAGATTGTAACCTAAAAATCCGACCCATATAAATAAAAATAAATAGCAGTTTACTTTAAAAATAAAAAATTTTTTTTTAATGAAATTTGAATATTTCCATCATAATTTTTAATTTTTAATAAGAATTTTTCTTTACTTTTTCCCATACAAAAATTCATTGCTCCATCTTTAAATTTAAAAAATTTTAAATTTTTCTCATTTATCCCTAGTTAATTAACTTACTTTTCAACGCCGTTCTTTTTGAGGTATTCGCTAAGTTCAGCAACTTTTTTTGGTTGAGTAACAGCTTCATGCATTACTTGAGCGAATGCTTCAACCTTAGTTATATCTTGAACCTATTTAAATTTAAATTAAATTTATACATATAGCGAGTCGGACAATAGTAAAGTAAAAATGGTCCTGTCCTCAAATCCTGTGTTTATGTAAAGCATATAGCTATTTAATTTCCTAAGGCTGAGCAGTAGGCGGCGTGGTGTAATGGCTAACACATCAGTCCGGTCTACTGAAGATGCTGGTTCGCTCTCAGCCGCCGAATAACCTTTTGCTCTAGCTAAAGGAGAGAAATATGTAGCTATAGCCCAGCTGCTTTACTTCTAGTTATTATGATATAATCAACATACCAAATGGTAATTGTCTGCCAATTTATTTTCTAAAAATTGGTGATGTGTCCCAGCTCCTTCGGAAAGAATTAGGGAAGCATTTGGATTGCAAACAATCATTTCTTTGGCTACCTAATATTTAGTAAAATAATTTTTAATTAAAAAAATCCTCTCGAACCAAGTTCATTCCATCCATTACAGGTGTAACCACACCAATATCCATAGCCAAATAGCGTTTAATTAACTCTTCTCGTTTTACACCTGCAGTTTCAAAAATTATTGCTTTATAATCTGTTTCTTTGCCGTATTTATCTTCCAAAATTTTTTGAAATTTTTTGTTAATTTTATCCGGTATTTTGTTAATTTCATCCTATTTATAGAAAAAAATTATTTGAATTTTTGTTAGTATCTCGTTGGCTAGAGTGGGTCCTTATAAGGATGCTGCTCCCTCCACTTCCATGAGTGAGAAATCTGTTAGATATTTTTTAAATCTGCTAGTTACAGCTTGTTCTATCTGTAAATAGAAAAGTTTTTTGTATCGAGTTCGCTTGATCTCGAATCTCGATCGATCCTTAAAGCAACGTTTTAGGGGAAAAATTCTCACCTGATATTCTTTGAAAGATCCAATTCCACTTCGATTATTTTGTGCTATTTGATAAAACACATCTCTTCCAATTCGATCAGGATGTTCGTCGAGGTATTTTTCAAAGGCAAAAAGTTTTTCCTTTATTCCTTTGGTATAATCAAAACGTTCAACACCAAAGAAAAGTTTGCCACCTCCCAAAGTGTTTGCCATTTTCTGTAATTTTTTTAAGAAAGTTACAAGTTAGTTCTATGAATCAGCGAGGTTTAAAGGAAAACAAGACTGCTTGATCTGGCATCAGACCGATCAAATATATGATGAAGGAATAAGTGATTGAAACACCTCTTAACTAGTCCCTTTCTCCCTAATTTACGTGAGGCGATGAAGGAGAGAATACGAATAACATGATGTCTCAGCGATAAGCGGAGGCTCACTCGATTCATCCCGCAGAGGTTTCCCCAATTTTCCATGGGGTTCAAATAGATTTTTCATGTATCTCTTAAAATATTTCTAGGATATATTCACCCAAATCTCATTCCTTGTTGAAGGTGAACGAAATTTTTAATAATTATTTTAAACATAATTTACTTTGTCTCGCAATTTTTTAGCTTCATTAATAATTTCATCTTTTTCGGCAATACTAGTAAAATCATCAATTTTAATTGTAGCTGGGTAAACACCCAAATTACATCCATTTTTCGGTGTAATATTTTCAATTTTTATATTAATAATTGTATTTTCCTCTGTATTTTGTACAGTTTTTTGTACATTTTCCTCATAAAAATACTAAAAATTAAAAAAAATTTTTGTCAATATCCTACAAAAAATTTTCAAATACCTCTGCCCAGTAGACAAAAATACCACGATCTTTATTTGTTTGGAACCCAACTTTATCAAAACTTAACATTCCTTTTATAATTTCTTTAGTCAAACTTTCAAATTCTTCTTCAAAATTTTTGAAGTTTAAAACAAAATCTTTAGTTAATTCAAAAGGTGTATGCAAAAAGAATCCCAATTTAAAAGGTTCCTTAGCATTCACCAGAGTTTTCTTATCCTTCATCAAATGCCTCTTAGTCTCCTTTAATGATTTTTTAGTATTCTTTACTTCAATTTCTCGTAAATACTCCCCAACAAACAATAGATGATAATCTTGAATCCAGATAAAATCATTTTCTGTTGGCTTGGTTTCAAGAATTGTTTCCGCAAATTGTTTATTCACTTTTCTATACTCTAAAAAATATAGCAATTTTATCCGTTTTTATGAACGTATTAGAACAATTTTTGGCTAATCCGAAGCTAGAACTGGGTCTGAGATTTATCATTCTTGTAAGGTTGATTCACCTAGCAGCATTTGAAATGCTTAGACGGGGTTAAAGGATTAAACGTTGGGGGTTAAACGATCTAAAAGGATAAAAGAAAAGCATTAGTCGATGCTCCGGTAGCTCAGTGAGCTATAGGTAAGTATAAGTATTAGTAAGCTATAAGTGAGCTACTCAGTGAGCTATATGCTATATCTACAACGTATAAGCGGTGAGCGAAAGCGCCTAGCAAGAACTGCAAGGAGGTTGCTGGTTCGAATTCTGCCCGGTGGCTATACTTTTGCTAAACTATTTCTCTCTGTATGTGTTAGCCACCCCCAACCATTTGCTTTAGTCAAATCTTTAACTTTTAATCCATTCAAATGATCCTTACATACCTTCAAGATTTGTATTAAAATCTTCATTTTTAACAACAATTTTATGAAGTATATTGTGAAATGCTGGCCATAAAATGTTATTGCTCATTCCTTTGTAGAATTTATCAAAATTCTCAATATCAATCAGAACCTTTAGAATTATAATTTTATTTTAACATTGAATTTTTTGCAGGATTTCATGAAAAAATTCATTAAATATTTCAGAAATTATTTTAAGAATACTGTAATTTTTTTAAATTACCGGAGATAACCCAAAGGTTGATTTTTCTGAATTCTTGTACGCTTCAATAGCCATAAGTTTTGGGTCTTTTTCTGGAGTAGATATGTATTCAGGATCACTAGCTAAATAATTAAATTATAATATTAAATATGCCAAAGTATCACCAACTTTTCTAAGTATTTTTAAATGATCTATTATGTTACAAGGGATTCACAACGATATATCAAAATCCTCCATCAGTTAATGGAAGCTAATTATGTATTGTTGCAGTAATAGTTTGGTTTAACTCCTCCCACCCCACTTCATGTTTATTTAAGCTAGGCAAATGATACCAAAATTGGTTTCGATGAATCTATAAACCTAATCCTCATTGGAAAAACCTCTGTTTTTTAAGTGCTTAGAACAAATGTTCATAACTTTGTTGATTCAAGTAATAAATGAAAAAAATAAATGATGCCGTAAATGAAATCAGGAAAAAATAGTGTCGGAACCAAACTATTACCCAAGTTTATACTTTTAATTTTATAATTTTTAAGTAAATATTTACGTGTCACATGGAAAACCCAAACATTTTCTTTATTTGCTTTAATTACTGGTTCAACTGCAGTAACCAATCCACCAGAAGCCTTTTTTAATTAAAGAATTAATTCGAAATAATCCCCCCAATTTAAACATACAGATTTAATTATCCATTGTTCATTATCAACAGAAGCTTTTGGTTTTTTAATATTTTCATCAGGTTCTGATTGGCGTTGTCGCTTTCGATTCGAATGAGAGCCATGATTTAATAGCCCTGTCGAAATGTGGTCATCCTGACCTTTCTGAGTCTTTTGTATTGGATAATCCTTTTCTAACTTTTCCAAATGGAAGGGTGGCGCGTTTGATGCCAAAATGATTCTTACATATTTGGTAGCTAAGGCTTTCCTTTCTGTTAAAAATTTGTAAAAAAATGTCTGTTAAAGGATTGTTTTTAATTTAGCTGGTCACTGTGCTCTCTCTTCCTCCCTTCTACTTCCATACACCCTCTAAGTGATACCCTTATTTAAGATACACTCATTATAAGCTGAAATCTTTTCAATCAAAGGGCTTCTCTTTTAGCTTCCGAATGTGTAAATAAAAAATATTAGGGTAGCTAGCCAAAAAATTTTCTCTTAAAGATTAACTCACCGAGAACAGAACGAGGGCTTCCTCGTTCTTTTCCTCCAATTACAAAAGGAAAAATTAAAAACAAAAGAATTAAAATTTTGGGGGGAAGATGATTGGAAAATTTCATTTAACTGAAAATAAAATTTTAATTTTTAGCTTTTTCTAAATTTTAAAAGCTAATTTTTAATTGAGAAAAAAACTTTAATTTGAGAATTATTTAATTAAAAAAATTTATTTAATTTTTAATAAAGAAGATATTTGAAGAATAATGCTTAGAAATGCTTAGCTATTTCCTTTATATGAACTATGAAAAGTGAGTAGGAGGGGGAGGAAGGGAGATGAGAGGAGGTGGACGGGAGCGAGAGAGTTTGTGAGGATGGGCGGAAGCTTCTCGAAGGGAGGTGGAGGGGGAGGGAGGGAGATGAGAGGAGGTGGACGGGAGTGAGAGAGTTTGTGAGGATGGGCGGAAGCTTCTCGAAGGGAGTGGGAGGGGGGAGGGGGAGATGAGAGGAGGTGGACGGGAGTGAGAGAGTTTGTGAGGATGGGCGGAAGCTTCTCGAAGGGAGTGGGAGGGGGGAGGAGGAGATGAAAGGAGGTGAACGGGAGTGAGAGAGTTTGTGAGGATGGGCGGAAGCTTCTCGAAGGGAGTAGGAGGGGAGGAGGAGGGAGATGAGAGGAGATGGACGGGAGTGAGAGAGTTTGTGAGGATGGGCGGAAGCTTCTCGAAGGGAGTGGGAGGGGAAGGGGAGGGAGATGAGAGGAGGTGGACGGGAGTGAGAGAGTTTGTGAGGATGGGCGGAAACTTCTCGGAGGGAGTGGGAGGGGACGGGAGGAGATGAGAGGAGGTGGACGGGAGTGAGAGAGTTTTTGAGGATGGGCGGAAGCTTCTCGAAGGGAGTGGGAGGGGAGGGGAGGAGATGAGAGGAGTTGGACGGGAGTGAGAGAGTTTGTGAGGATGGACGGAAATTCGGAGGGAGGGGGAAGGAGGGAGATGAGAGGAGGTGGACGGGAGTGAGAGAGTTTGTGAGGATGGGCGGAAACTTCTCGGAGGGAGGTGGAGGGGGAGGGAGGGAGATGAGAGGAGGTGGACGGGAGTGAGAGAGTTTGTGAGGATGGGCGGAAGCTTCTCGAAGGGAGTGGGAGGGGGGAGGAGGAAGATGAGAGGAGGTGGACGGGAGTGAGAGAGTTTGTGAGGATGGGCGGAAGCTTCTCGAAGGGAGTGGGAGGGGGGAGGAGGAAGATGAGAGGAGGTGGACGGGAGTGAGAAAGTTTGTGAGGATGGGCGGAAATTTATCGGAGGGAGTGGGAGGGGGAGGTTTGCGAATGGGCGGAAGCCTCTCTCTTCCTCCCTGCTACTTCCTTATTAAATATATTCTATTGTCTTTAAAATTTTTAATTTTTTGTGTATATATTTACAAAATAATTGATTGACAATTAAAAATTAAATTTAAAAATCAATTAAAATAAATGGAAATTAAAAATTAATTTTTAATTTTTAAATTTCTTGCGGCTGTGATATTTATTTTTCAAGTTCTACTCCAAGCTCCGACCGAAAAACAACTCCCCCATCGGGTGCTTAACTTTTAAAAATAATACATACTTAGCTGAGTATTATCTAATTATGGAAAAATTTCTTAGTGAGGTCTGATATATATAATTAATATGATTTTTAATTAAAAGGTCAAAAAGTTTTGCAAGAAAATTTAAATATTTTTAAAGCAAATATTAAATAATAAAAATTTTTTTTTAATTTTTTAAAAAATTCAGAGTGCCTCTTCGATTTTTAAAAAATATTTTTCACTCCCTCCTCCTTCCTTCCCTCTTCCTTCCCCCTCCTTAACCCCTCTCCCTCTTACTCCACCTCTCCCTCTCACTCCACATCCCCCCTTCCTCCACTTCCATTGTAAATATTTTTTTATTGTCAAGCAAAATGTAAAATTTTTTTTTGTCTGAATAATTGATTGGAAAATAAAAAAAATTTTTTATTTAAAAAATTTAATTAAAATAAATGGAAATTTAATTTAAAATTTAATTTTTAAATTTCCGGAGGGCTATTCAATTTATTTTTCAAATTTCTAGCTACTGGCCCATACGGTTTTGTTTAATTAATTCAGTAAAGCAGCTGGGCATAGCTATTTCTCTCCTTTAGCTAGTGCAAAAGGTTAATCCGCGGCTGGGTGCAAACCAGCATCTTCAGTAGACCGGACTGATGTGTTAGCCATTACACCACGCCGCCTACAGCACAGCCTTAGGAATTATAAGTAAAAATATGCTTTACATTTTGGCGATTTTACTTTGAAATTGCGCACATTGTGTTTAACGCCCTCTGATTTTTCTTGCAATTTAAAAAGATATTTTACTTTATTTTTAAATTTAAATTCTTATAAGCTTTTTCTTTGTAAGCATCGTCTTTTTATGAATAATTAATAAAAAAAGTTTGCAAAAAATTTTTTTATTAAATTTTTATTAATTAAAATTGCTTTCGGGAAATAGGAAAAAATAAAAAAAAATTTAACTTAAACATTTCAAATAAAAAATATTTTTTAAAAAAATCTTTAAAAGAAATTTCTTGATTAATATATTTATTTTTAAAGTTTTTTGGCATTTGATCAAGTTTAATGTTTGATTCCCTATTTTTATTTTTATTAATTATTAACATGTGAAAAACCTTTCCCTCTTTTTTATTTATTATTAAAATTAGTGGATAAACATTAAGCATTTTTAAAGGATTTACACGTGAATTTATTTTTTAATTTCACCTCACGAGCATGTAGAGGCCCTCTACAAGCATGTAGAGGGCAAGCATATAGAGGGAAAGCATGTAGAGGGCGAGGAAGCCCTTGCAAAAAATATTTTTTAAAAGGCGGCAAAAAATATATTGAATTTTAAATTAATAAATAAAAAATAAATGCAAAATAGAATTTTGTTTATAGGGTGACAAAAAAATTAAGCGGGCACTTTTCATTTCATCGTAACTTTTTATATTATTAATATTTTTTTGTTGATTTTCCACTCATTTTGTAGCCCAAACAAGTCTCTTTCATGGCTATAAGCCAGGTTCCATTATTGAACTTCACTGAAATGAATAATACGGAAATTTATGCAGTATGTACATAACTTGATTTAATCATTGAAAAGCCCAAACATTAAGCTATAAATGGTGTGTCAGCATAGAAACAACTTATAAATAAATCGTTAAATTGTGTAATTAAATATTTCGAATAAAATAATTTTGTGTAAGATGCCTATTTTTAAATGGATATACACCAGGGCTGGCTTATTTCGCATTGCGCGTTTCGCTTTTTCGCATTTTTTAGCGTGAAAAGTTTCGCATTTCGCTTTTTATTTTTTTGAAAAAGTTTCGCATTTCGCTTTTTATTCTTAGCTTTCGCCCAGACCTGATCTACAGAACTGTACGTGTTATTAACAAAACTTATTTTAATATCAATTTGAAGCCGATACTTGGTCTATAGAAGAGAGATTAAATTTTTATTCTTTATAAATAGATTTTTAATAAAATATTAATTTAAAAAAATATTATTAGCTCAAACTTAAATACCCTAACACAAAAGCATATGTACAACTAGATAGATCTAATTAATGCCATTCTAACCCTAAAAAGTTAAATGAAAAACACAAAAAATATATTCATCAATAACTTCCTCCGAGATTGATCATTCATTCAAAAACTCTTCACTCCATCTGGAAATTAAGTCAAATAAATTTATAATATTTAAAATAACATCAATTTTGAAGCCGGTTTTATATTAAAATCGGTTAAGGTCTCTCTTTCAGTCCCAATTTTTTAATCCCGATTTTATATTGTCCAGTCCTTGGAAAATCCATATGATAGGATGTTTAATAGTAGAACCATCTCAAAAAAGGATCAATCATCTTAAGAAAGGATCGATCATCTAACTACTTATTGTCTGATCTCTAATCTACTAATTGTCAGATCTCTTATCTACCCATTGTCTGATCTCTAATCTACTAATTGTCAGATCTCTTATCTACAAGTATAAAGGACTTACTTATCAACACTGTGGTTTTTGAGGTATTCTCTAAGTTTTTCGCCCCGTATTTCTTGCCTTTCTTCGGACAATACTGTAGAATCATGCAAAACATCGGCAAAATGTTCAGAATTTTTAATATCTTCAACCAAAAAATAGTTTCCACCCAATCCATTTTCTTTAAGTTGGTGATGAGTGCCGGCGCCGTTCGAGAGAACAAGAGGGGCTATCGGGTTAGAGGCTATCATTTCTTTTGCTACCAGATTCATTCCATCCATTACAGGTGTAACTACACCAACATCCATAGCCAAATATCTAGTAACCAGTTTTTCACGTGGAACCCCTTCTAATTCGATAATAAAGGGTTCATATCCTTCGAGTATTTTTATATTATCATTTCTTTTAGTAGATCCTTCTCCAAATTCTACTTTGATTCTTTCTTTGATTTTTAGAGAGTTGTTCTACAATAGAATTTAATTTAAATATTTTTATTTAAAGAATTTTTTAAGTCCTTGTCAATTGCACTTTTCGGTCTTTGCTCGTTTATTTCCACAAGCACTTTGCGCGTGAAAAAAGTACATACACATGGTAATTTAATAGATTAAAGATTGAGCAAGTTAAAGCATGAAGGGAGGATAGCTTTTCACGTGAATAAAAAGTGCAAACTCAATCAGATCAAAACTCAATGCGCTCTCCCCTGGCTCGTATCTCCCTTGCTATTTCAGATAAATGACCGGTAGTCTCCAACCCCCCTTCATAAAAAAATTTTTCTCTTGGACATATGTATGTTTAACACTAAGTTTCTAAATCTTCTACTTGATAATTCTTGTAGTTTTCAATATTTCGACGATTATAGGGAGCTATTTGATAAAACACATCTCTGCCGATACGGTCGGGGTATCTTTCAAGATACTTCTTGAAACCTTCCAATTTTTCATAGATTCCTTTAGTGTAATCAAAACGTTCAACACTGAAGAAAAGTTTGCCGCCTTCCAGAGTGTTTGCCATTATCTAAGGGGAGGAATCATTTTTATTAAAAATAAAATTATTTCTAGAGGATAGATTAATGTAAATATTTAGTATCCTAATAGAACTATAGAACTTTGTCTAAAAGAGC